CTATCTATATATATATATATATATATATATAGGGGCGTCCATAAAGTTCGTGTTCACTTTAAAAAATTTATCTATCCGTGTCGTGAGTGCTTTTGGATTGGATTTGGATTGATTTGTTATTTACAACTTATCAATCCTTTGCAGGTTATTTAAAGCCAGAAAATATGAGAGATAATCATGATTAATGATACAACTCCTCCTAATTAACCCGTAGCTGGGGATAGAAGAGGTGAATACATATCCTTCCCAAGAGTATTTTCACGTAAGTGAATATAAGAACCCGACGGGAATTGGAAATCGACTCTCCAATATCGAATTCCGAGCCGTTATCTATTACACCACCCGCACATCCAAGCTTACAGCATCCGGTATTCCCAAGCGATCACTGGGTGCTTTTGAAACCAGATGTTCGTAAGGCGATTCTGAGAGAACTAGAAGTCCTACCAGGATTTAATATTGGCGGACACAATCTTAATGTTGTGACCAAGTAAATGATTAAGTAATAACAAAAACCAGGTTTGCAGATATATCGTATATTAAACAGTAAGTACACCAGAAGAGTATTACACGTCTAGCGAAAGTGCATCGAAGGAACTAGGGTTCAATCTATTCACTGTTATATTTAACAGCCCCACCCCCACGAGGAATGTATGTAGCACAAGGCCGAGTTTACCGTGGTTTTTCCGAGCCCGTAGGCTTGGCCCAAAATATCCCCTTAAAACCCGCATAAACGTGCTCAGGGCCTGTCTACCTCCCAGGACGAAACTTTGCCCTTTGGACATTTTTTAGGAAAATGTGGAGAGCCATAATTGTCCACATCCTAAAGCGAAACTACTCATAACAAAATTATAGGAAACTATATCAAGATTATAATTATGAGGTTGTTAAGTATCTTAGTTTTGCCCGTGAAGCATAATGAGGAAAGGGGACTTGGAGAGTTTAACACACACATGGCAAGAGAGAAGCAGAGGAAAACATCGAGTAACCTACATCACGAGATTATGTAAATGGGTGGAAGAACAGCGTGCAACTGGTGTGGGATAGAGTAAGAAGACAAACGTTGCTTAGAACTACAAAGGATAGGAAGTCGTGGAGAGCTATGATCACTCACGTCCTGAAGATACCCGGCATATAATAGAAGAATATGTGTCTACCTGCATATGTGTGTGATTCTTCGCTAATTTTTATACAACAAAGTAAGACGTAAGCAAAATTGGGTCTAATGACTAAACAACCTAAAAACCTTTTCTTTTTTTTTTTTTGTTATTGTTGTTGTGACAACCAAACACAGGTCACGTGACTTGATGCTAGCACGATAATGAAAATAAAAGAGGAGTAAAAACTGAGGGTGTTGCCTTTTAATATAAAGTGAACCTCTTGTGTGTGTGACGGAACATAAAGCAAGAATTGTGTTATCAGGAGACCGTCGTCGCCATTATGTTTTATGACACTAGTCAATGTTTTCAGAATATTCATATGTTCATATCATGTACATCTTTCTCTTCTTCTATGCGCCTTGTCCATTCAGGACGTTGGCGATCAAAGCTCTCCGCAGAGTGCTGTCCTTTCTGCCATGTTTCAGCTTATAATCTTCTCTCTTGGCCTGGCTTCGCGAACCAAAATTTATGAAGTGGGCTCTCTACGTCGACTGCAGGCAAGTCCGACCGCAGCGACTGCCATCAAAGGTCTGGTCTTGTATAGTTGCTGAGGCTTCTCGGTCCTTCCTCCCGCGGCGTTTCTCCTTCAGGCTGGCCCTTCAAGAGTCCTCAAAGGTGGGGACAGCTGATAGACGTTGCGGCACCAGGCTTGACGGTCAGCAGCAAGTGCTGACCACTGGCGATGGAACAAAGCTGTAGAGCTTCATATGATCCTGATATGTAATAGTTATTTAACCCATAGCTGGCTCCCTAAACAGGTACTATCACTCCGGGACAAGGTGAACCTGGGGGCAATGGTAATTAAGGGGTCACTCTACTATCCCCAAAACTCTGGCACTCCCAGACCAGAGCCTTATCACCGGTTGCAGTTTAATGTCATACTCAGGATAAAGCTTATAGTATGGCTTTATTAGAGATAAATATTAGAAATATTAGGCTGTTACATAAATTCGTTCGTTTTTTTTTAATAATTTATTTTAATACTTATTATTTATTAATTGTTCTATTGAATCATTCAACAATGTATACAACCTCATCGTTTACAATTTTTTTTTTTTTAAATGGCAAGAGTACTGGTACAATTATCCACATCATAAACTCTATACAATCCAGATCAAGCTGGAAGTAAGTAATACATCTTTCAGGGAACCATTTACATTATTCGGACTCTTGTCCTTATCGCCATATTTATTACAACGTTTCGGCCGTTGTACGCTCCGGCCTTCTTCAGGTGGTTGGAATGTCGAACTGAATCCTTTATTTCGCTCACTGGAGTAGACTGTTCTAGTTCCACGTGCCATGTCTAATGGATGTCAGTTATCGGTTATCTCCTGTTAATTCCCCTCTAAAAGTTCTCCACTGCCTTGACCGGGTATTGAACTCACACTCTTTGGGTCCTTTCACTGGATCTAATTAACGCCTTTATCCACCGTGCCATGAAAAGAAAGGACTCAGCATAAACTACAAGAAGACTGAATGCATGGTCATCAGTAAGAGGAAGAGCCTGAAATGTGATTTGCAGGTCGGGAACACTGGAATTAAGCAGACGCAGAAATTTAAATATCTGGGAAGAGTCTTGAGAGAAGATGTTAAGTGCGACACTGAGATCAGTAGACATATTGGGATGGCCAAGGTCACATTCCAAAAGCTGGGCAGAGTATTGCGAAACAGAATTTCTTTGTTGACAAATAAAAGAATACTGATCTGTTACAAGACATCTGTCCTTCTTTACGGCAGCGAATGTTGGATGATTTCCTCAAAGATGAAGAAGAGACTCGAGGCGACTGAGATGTGGTTCTATAGAAGGATGTTAAGAATATCATGAATCGATAGGTTACAAAGAAGGAGAAGGCTTATACTTAACATCAGGAAGAGGCAGCTGAAGTTTTTGGGACACATAATGAGGAAGGAGGGCCTGGAGAACCTGATACTCACGGGTCGAATAGAGGGAAAAAGAGACAAAAGAAAGCACCGTGTTACATACTTGACAAGCTTGGCAGGTGGGTGACAGAACGTGGTCTGAGGGAGGAAACAGAGGAAAGGAACTTGTTGAGAGCTGCAAGGGATAGAAGGAGGTGGAGAGCCATGATCGCCTACGTCCTGAAAAGACATGGTACATAAAAAGAAAAGAAAGAAGCAAGAATACGTGGATGAAAATATCTGAAGAAACTTGTGACCGTAAGCAGAGAGAAAAGATGTAAGATATTAAAAGCATTGGTCAAACATATGCCAGCAACATAACGGCTATATTTAAATAAATATATCAAAACGAAACATACCAATTGAGCAAAGAAATAAACGAAACCTTAATTCGCAGAAGTGACTTTTTACTGATGAATATAGAGCTGTGTTCAACAGAGTTGTTTGGTTGGTTGATTGTTTTGTTTTATGGCATATCAAAACCTCAGTGGGTCATTGTTATACTGGAATATACCTATTCTATGATTAATAGACTCTCCCACATATAATAAGTAGTAGTAGTAGCAGTCGCCAGGGAGCTCAGTGGCTCGGTCTGAGTTCAGCTGACCGGTTGAACTCTCTGCCTTCGGGCGGGGAGGAACCCGAACGAGGCTACGCCGAAGGGCGGAGTCTCTTTCGGGGAGGTAAATCGACCCTGAACCCGTTTATACGGGTTTTAAAAGGGCATATTTTTGGCCGAGCCCACGGGCTCGGAGATCCCACGTTAAACCGGTCTTGTGCCACATGATGCCCTTGTGGGGGGGGTGACTGAATATTGCTCAGTAAGTTGGTCAGTCAGTTGATGTCGGACATTAAAGTATCAACCACCACAACTAGATTGCTGCGTCATTAACTATTATTTCAAGTTCCTAACGGTTTTGTACGTCGAACCTATTTTAGGACCGACTTAGTTAAATACAAGCCTCCACTGTGAAACTACTCTATAACAGTCATTTAATGCCAACAAAAATTTTTGAAATAGATTCATAGCGATAGTTTGGTAAAAAAAAGATGTGTATGTATACATATATATTTGAACCATTTTTCAATTACTCATATTTTTGAGTACAATTCAACTTCTTTTAGGAAATTTACAATCTTGGATGGTTTTATTTTCGTCAAAAGTTTTTTTTTTTAAATTACTCACTTGGTAATATTTTGTTCAAACAAGATCAAAATCTACAAACTCTAGCAGTATATGTTTCACTGTAAATCTCTCTTGGCATGTAGTGGATATTGGGGATTCTGTGCCTCCTTGTTGAATAGAGATTAGTTTATTCATTAAAATAAAAAGAACAGATGTGTTGAGCTCGTATTGCAGGCAGTAAAATGATAGGTCCCTTCAAAGTTGATGATGTTGTCAAGATAAATGTACAGGATTATTATAAATTCTTGAACAAGAGGATTATTGACGGGTGCAGATCAGAAGCAAGTAAGTTTAAGCTAAAGTGTATTTTCATGCAAGACATTTTTTCATAGTCTTAACGCCAACAATTCATAAAGAATGTAAGCACAAGCATTAAGTAAGTGAATAAACTTTAAAGACACTTCTAAGATTTTCCTAACATTGGAAATGGTATTCCAGATGTCTGAGTAAAAATTGTCTAGCGACTCGGACTGAGGAATTGGAGATCCGAGTTCGAATTCCAGTCGAATCCGTTACATTCACTTACGTGATGACAACCTTGGGAAATGTATAAATCCTCTTCTTCTCCCCCTCAGCTATAGGTAAATAGCAGAACAGACCGGGTTCTATAGCCTTGGATGGCAACTGGTCTGGCGCAGAAAGAAATGGCAACCTACTGCGGGAAAAATCTGCCTCGACAATCATGCATCGAAAGATACACGATCGCCTAAGCCCTTGTACAATTATCACTATTCGACAAGCAGTTCTTGGAGCGTTAAATAACAGGATAGATAGATAGATAGATAGATAGATAGATAGATAGATAGATAGATAGATAGATAGATAATTAACTGAGATAGATAGATAGATAGATAGATAGATAGATAGATAGATAGATAGATAGATAGATAGATAGATAGCGTTTGCATGCAATATTGGCCTTCATAAGGTGGTATCCACTTTTGTACTAACTTGCATCATCCGTTTTCCAATGTTTCATCACTTGTCCCATTAAAAAATTGAAGAAGAAAAGAAATCTCCGTTTAAATCCTGGTCAGCAAAAGGGCGCCATGTCTTTCCGCTGTCATCCTTGGAAAAGAATGATTACCAAACAGACATAAAAAGCTTCAAAGACAACTTCTCTTCAGTCGGCTCAAATATCAAACCCAGATGCAATAACGCACATAAAAAATCACACATGTGAACCTTTCCAGAAAGTGAAACAATTTTGTCAGTTTGTTATTTTATGAAGATTTGTTATTTCAACTCTTTTCAGTGCCGATGTTTATTCTTCCTACAAATATACATCCATTCGCACGTAGAAATATAAATATTCAAATATATACATGGCGATATTCTCATGGACATATTGCTCTGTTATAGGAGCAAATGTCCGTGTATGTGTGTGTAGACATGTGCACGGGTTCGTGAATGTGAGTACGCTGTGTATATATGCATATCTGTAGGGCGCATATAGACAGTTTTGTTATTTCAACGATCTTTGTTAGGTATCTTTGGGTGTCTTTGTTGTCTACACACAGACACGGCTACTAGATAGATAGATAGATAGAAATGAACAGGATAGAACACATAGATAGATAGATAGATAGATAGATAGATAGATAGATAGATAGATAGATAGATAGAAAGAAATAAACAGGATAGATAGATAGAAATAAATAAACAGGATAGATAGATAGATAGATAGATAGATAGATAGATAGATAACTTTCTAAATTTCACTTCATGCTTCATACAACCAAAGAAACTGAAAACGATAGGAAGATTTTGTTGCGCCAATCTGTCAAGTAGAATTTAAAATCAACGTTCACATCTCTATTTTTTTACCTCGGTTCAAGGCCTGGCGAGATAATATAGCTGTCTTATTCAATAAAAAGGTCCAACAGATAATGAACAGAATAATTAGTAATCAAAGTGGTTGCAATCTGGGGAGTTAGTAAGTGATGATGTGGTCGCAGAAATTGTCTGACAGCCATGACTCTGTTCTCCTGCTTGTATGGCATGGTGCAGAGTCCCGTTGCCAGACATAGCAATTTCCACCGGGAGAAAAAATCTTTTTCAATATTCTAAAGAATTATTTCCCTGTTTTAGTAGCTACGGCTACTGTTTTATTTGTTTTATTTTTGGTTTTATGCTATTTTTTTTTTTTTTTTTTTTTTTTGGTTGCCGTTTTTTCAAATAAAATGTCGTTTGTTCCAACGCTCTTTAGCTAGTTTTACCCCGATGTTCTTTTAGGAGTAACCTAGGTAGGCAGGTTCTGGCTCACTAGATTTTTTTTTTTTTTTATACATACATACCCCCCACACACACACATATATATATATATATATATATATATATATATTTAAGTTATGAAGAACTTGGCAAACCGAATTGGTAAATCCAAGGAGGGTGAAATCCTGAGAGCTCAATGTGAAGAACAGAGCTAATATTTAATGAAAAACAGACCACTTTAAGGTAGCATCACTATATATATATATATATATAGACTAAATTTGTTTTGCATAATTATTTCTTTTATGATATAATATATATACTGTACACTCATACATACATATATATATATATATATATATATATATATATATATATATATATATATATATATATAAAAGTGAACATTGAAGTCAACACTCAGAGGTGACAGGCTGTTTCATACTAGATGCAATCGTCAGACAGTTCTGACGATTGCGTCCAGCTTGTCGCCTCTGGCTGTTGACTTCAGTGCTCACTTTCATATTTATATTTACATACGCTCTATCTATGATATTGAGCACTTTATCCCATAAATATAGCACACCTTAAAACTATATTTCTTCATATATATATATATATATATATATATATATATATATATATACCTGTACACACGTGTTCATGTATATGTGCTCCCTCATATCTACACGCACGCATAATATGTAATAATGGCTAGTCATTCATATCCGAGGATGCCCATTAGCCAATCCCTTTTGCAGACGCCAGCTCAGGCACATTTGTGTGTATTCAACACCCACAGAGTCCATCTGTGATTTATACTGCAACTATGCTGAGCGGGGCTAAGTTACATTTTATGGGAGAGAGCGCTATCTGGCGTGATCAACAGTCCTAACAAGGCTCAAACATTGGGTCACTTCGACGGACATACATACATAAATACATACACATAATATATGTATTTGAGTCAATTTTGTGATTCTGATTTTCCTTGATATTATGGTACCCATTGGGATGTCTTATTTGTCTGCTTGCTTGTTTACACACACACACACACACAAACATATATATATATAATGGACTCTCCCGTCGGTTTCGACGTATGAGGATCTGACAACTTAATTCAGTTATAAAATTTTGTGCGATAATATTGTGGCACTTAAGACCCGCTAGTGATTTACAAAGGAAGCCGCATAATTTTTTTCTCCTTTATGTTTTTCTTGAACTTCAAGAAAGACATTCGGATTACTAACACATAGAAAGAGAATGTCTCATATCAAGAATATTTAACATCGAAAAACATAAAGGAAAAAGAAATGAATTATTTTTAATAATATGTGGAAATCTCCCCATCCTTTGTCTGATGAAGATCACGAGACCAGAAACGCGTGTAGTAAAAATTATGGAAAATAAAGCATAATATCTTTTTTAAATCCACATTACAACCAAAAACGTTTGTGGTATCTCTTCTTTTTAACATATATATATATATATATATGTATGTATGTGTATGTATGTGTGTGTGTGTGTACACACTTTTTCTCTCGTTGGAACTACTATAACCTCTTCCTTTTACGTATATATATATATATATATATATATATATATATATATATATATATATATATATATATATTAGAGCCGTTGGGATTCTGTAGGTTTTAAATCAACCCAGTCCAGGTAGACGCTTTTTTTTTCTCTGCTAACTCGTATATCGCTTCGTGTTATTGTCTTTGCTATGATCGGTTTATATAACGTATGGTCCTGTTCTTAGATTTACTATTGAGAACAGCAAGATTAGCGCACTCTCATTTCATTTCCTTCTCAGTGAACCCTGGTATTTATACTGGTATTTTTTAAGTCAAAAATGTGGTCAGATGTATTATAGTGAACCATTGGTGCGTTTAGATTCTTCTAATGCAGAATATCTCTGCAGGTGTTCATATAATCTTTTTTTTTTAAGTTTCTAGATGTTTCACCGATATACATCAATGAGCATTTTGTGCAGTATATTACTGCCTCTGCTCTTTGTGTTGTCATCTCGTTTGATGTTAACTATATTTCTTATTGTTTTAGAGGTGGTGCATTCATTCGGGTATTGAAGTTGTTTTCGATGTATTTCTCTCCTTCGAGCAAGAATTGGGGGGGAAGGTTACAGATTCTAAGGGCTCTTTAATAAAAACCTATGATTACTATAGATTTTATTTTATTGTTGTCGTGGGGTAAAAGTGTATGAGGTCATTATTATTTGTTGGTTTTCGATAGACTTTCATTTGAATATCCTTCAATCAATTGTGTGCCATGCGTGATACACGCTTAGGCGATCATGTACCTTTCGATACATGACTGACGAGGCATATTTCTTCCCGCATTAGGTTGCCATTTTATTCTGCAGTAGACCAGTTGCTATCAAAGCCTACAGAACCCGGTTTGTTCTTTTATTTATTCAGAGCTGGCGGGTAGAAGAGGATTCATACTTTTCCCAAGGTTATTAGTACGTAAGTGAATGTTATGGATTCGACTGAAATTCGAACTCGGCTCTCCGATTCTTCAATCCGTGCCTCTCTATGTGTTCATATTAACAAGATGTCGAGATATGGTAAAGTGTAGTGTGCCTATGTTTCGTAAGTGAAATTTACTGTATGTTCTATACTTGCTAAGTCACTAAGCAGGATTATAGTGATTTACTATGGGTAGCTAAGATGCTGCACAAGGCCGAATGTCCGGGATACCAAGTGAATATCGAACTCACTACTCACTCGTGATTGATCCAGCGAGACACGCTTACTAACTGTTACACCACCTTGAAGTGCCTAACAAGCAGAGTTATAATATGATTACAGCGAGTGGGCATTTTGTTGACATTGATAGGTTCATTAAGAACAGACAGTTGACACAATCAGAATAGCAATCTCCGACCTTTCAGAAATATTGGTTGACAGGTTAAATTGTCAACAAGTTAAAGAGGGAATATTTTTTCAGTTGAAAGCATTTGGGGACAAGAGGCGAAGTAGTTGCTTTGAAAAGATGCCGATTGAAAATTTTGATTATTGCGTTGCACGAATGTAAATATAAGAAAACAAATCAGAGGTTCGGGATAAAGAAAGGATGCGAACATCGAACAGGCAAGACCTACGTAGCCCACATTTTCTCCGTGTTCAAAAAAATAAGAAAAATTTTCACTCGGACAGCTTTTTACTAAGCAGGACCGGCAGGTCTTCCTCTCGAAACCCCCGACCGGAGGGCGCGTTTTTTGTGGCCCCCTTGTGATCTCTGCCATTTTATTTTCACTACTGTTTTATGGCCATCCGCCATTTTCTTTAATTATTTCCAAACTGACGTTACATTGTCAGCCGTCAACTAATAATATACATCGCTTATCTGCATGGCCGGTGTGGTGTGTACTACGCAGGATTCCCCGACGAGGTTGGAACCCGAGAATGGCTAGTTTCAGAAGCGTTTTATTTTATTTATTTATTTATTTTTCTTTTTGTACTTTTTACTTTTTTCTCCCTAGGTTATATTGTCAATCATCAACTATAATAAACGTCAGGGCCGGTGCTTACTACCCCGATCCTCTCTACCGCGTGAGGGCTCCATTCCTACTGATGAGGGGGGTGTAGAAGTGCTAATTTCAGCGGCGCTTAGTTTTTAAAATTGTAACTTTTTTTCTGAACAGTTCTTTTAAATCAAT